ATTCACACACTACCCATGCCCCAATTTATAACAGACACACAAGGAAATGAACTCAAAATGAATATCCTGAGTTCAGAAAAGCTATGGTGCTAAAAAGTCTCCTCCTTCTGTGGAATATGTCAACAGGAGAGGAGTTCACACACACTTTGCAAAAGAAGGAAACAGATGCAGAATTGCTCCATATTTGTTGCTTAACACACTCCCAGCTAATTCCAGAAGATTCCTTGTTCACAGAGGCTGATGACAGTCATAGCACATAGTACTGACTGAACACTTTGACTGTAAGATTTCTTACAAACTTTTGTATTAAAATACATTAAAAAAACCCATGAAACACACCTCTAAATCTGATAAATATAAGCAAATAAATATTTTGACAACTTACATCGCCCGTATATCAGTTTATGTCCTATTACTGCTGTCTATGGTCCTATACTATATAAAATACAACACTAAATATTGCTAATATTTAAGAATTAAACTACAGCAACTGAACTACCTTTAGTAAGAACTTTCATTTGAAAATCACAGTGCAACCTAACAAGAGGTGTTTTAATATTGAAAATCAGGCAAGAAAATAATGCAAAAATATTGGTCTTGCTCAAAAAGCAGGACACGGGAAAACCCACAAAAATAAAATGCACCTTAATTGACTACCAGGTCATCAAACAAAACATGCAAAAGCTTCATAATATATAGCATTTGCACTGCTGCCACTTTTCTTGATTTTTCTGGATCTAAGAGTTTTTGATGACTCCCCTGAGCTGCTGTTCTGCAGTCACTAAATTTGTTTCAGTGGAGACAGACTTTCACTGGGGAGGTTCAGGTGTTCCCAGAGAGCACTACTACATCTCAGGTGCTAAACCTTGCTAACTCAATTCCTTCAGTTGTGTACCTGTGCTATAACCAGAATGTCACAAAACAACTTAAGAACATGTGAAACTGATAAAGTAGTCCTGAATGATTCCACAGACTTTTGAAACAGTGGATTTTCTAAATTAAGCTATATGAAAGAGCCCTTCTGAAAGTTATGAAGTCTCTGTACATCTACTACTAAAAACAACCAACCAACGAGCCTAAAAAAACCCGCAAAACACAGTTTCACCACTCTCCCTCAATACCTTACCCTTCATCCGAGGCGATTTACTTTCCTGGCTTGTAAATGGATGCAGGTTAGGTTACACCATAAAATAGCTTTGTTACAATATCTTAACAGCTGTTAATTTGTCATTTATATTCATTGAGTACAAGTAATAAAATATGTCACCTCTCTGGTTTGATGTTCATTGACAGGCTGACTCCTTTGCGGTATCTTAAGCTGTTGTTCCAGCTTCTGTATCTCTTGCTGGAATACATCCCTCTCATGCTCTCGGTCAACTGCTTGCTCCTGAAAGTTAAGAAATTATGTGGATACCACCATCTGATTTAAAAATTATCTACATTAAGTATATTACTACTTCTTATTTCTGTTATGTTCTGTGAGACTAGTAACAGTATTTCAGTATTTTTAATGTATCAGAACCACAACTACTATTAAAAAAAACTTATTTCATCATCGGGGGCAACAAATTTCACTTTTTTAAATTAAAAATCAGGACAGCATGGATACATCCAGTATTATTTCACAAAAATGACAGCTTTGTGTCTTCTGTTTCAGGTACACCACACAAATGGTAACAAGCTAATATTTTATTATTTCCTAATGTCTGTCTTTGATATAGGTAGCAGAAAGAGAAATGTTAATACTGATGAGGAGCCAACAACAAGATTATAAACTGTTTGAATTTTGCATTTCAGTTTTACTTTTGACCAGTTTCAGTTATATCCCAGTCTGACATTTGGGAAATACAGCTTTATACAGGAAATGATGCGCAACTGGTAGCATCCAGTGGAGCATCACCTTTAAACACCACTTTGCAAAACAGACAAACCTTATCAGATGCATTGAAATAAAGTAGCCGAATTATCTGATACAAAGAGGTACACTTCTGTCTAGCAACAAAATATTTCACAAAAATATCAGGAAACTGGAATAAAACCCCAACCTTTACAAGCTGTAGGTTTTAAAAATTCACTTGCTGTTTCAAGGAAATACCAGAATTCTAATGTTGGTATTACAAACAGCTACTCATCTCAGTAGTCCATAACTCTCCCATTCATGCTACTGATAATCTCAAACCATAATGCATTTGTGACCACGGGACTTGTAATAGGAATTTTTACTTCTGAACCTTGTCCTATTATGACACACTAGTTGCAGTGAGAAAAATAATCTTGTAACTGCAGAAAATTAAATAAAGCAAATCCGTTTCTGCTAAGAAGTAACTGGAAAGATATCTCCTTTAATACTGTTTAGTAATAGATTATGCAGAGAAAGTGCCACAGGGTGTTATATTTATTATGTAAAAAATTATTCCACCCTACAGCTGTCAGCTAGAGAGTTAACTGAAAAGGCACAGGAACAGTAGTTTTCTCCAAACAGCAGCATAGGACACTTAATAGGAGTAAAATGGGAAAAGAATGAGGTGGGGAAGATAGTGTTAGCTGAAAACAGGGTAGAGTCTAAAACAAAACTGCAGAGAGTCTGAGGCAGGAAGAAGCTGGGTACAACAGAGGCAGCTGCCACTGTGAATAAGCATATAATATGAATGGCTTGAAGGTGTAGCTTAATATCGAGGTAGGTTATTGGATACTATGAAGGAAGTCTATAAGAGAAATGTAGAGAAATTATGTTTTATTTCAGAGTACAAATAAAGCTGACTACTTAATTCCAACAGACTTTATTGAAAAACATGGAAATTCCACAAACTGTTAAAAATGAAGGTCACATAAATTTATATTTCCTCATTCATTTTAGAAGTTTCCCATTATTATAAACATTTAAGAAGCCTACTGAATTATACTTAGAAAGATAGAGCAGGCCTAAGCAAGCATCTCAAATGAATTTTCAACTTTTAAGACGTTAATTAAATTCTTGGACTGTAACCCATAGCACTGTTACTATCGTGTACTTCTTTATGTTTGCTCAAAAATCTGAAAAAACTAGCATTTCCTTTTGAATTAGACTTCAGTACAGGTGCCCACCTTCCTGAAACTAGCCTTTTACCATACTTACATCTAGAAATTTTCTTGTTTTCTCAAGTTGCTTCTCCAAAGCCTGATTTTGCTGCCTTAAGTCCATTAGTTCTGCATTTTTTTCTTGCTCTAGCTCTACAAGACGATTGACCTGTTCTTCCAAGTCTATTTCCAAGACTTTCACTTGCTTCTGAAGGTAATCATACTCTTTTTCAGCTTGACGCTGTACTTCAATTTTTTCTTTCATTAGCTTTTCTGTCTCCTCCAGCAATTCTGGTTATAAAAAAAGCATCACACACTATTAGATATGAATAGTTAGTTATGAAGCAAAACCACTCCCCAGGGTATCCATGCTGTACTCTGCAGAAGGATGTGAACTGGTTTGGGTTTTTACTATTTTCCTTTTTTAGAAAGTATTATTTTCTTCTGAGAAATAATCAAGATAACCACTAAAGCAAATTCATATTAAAATTACTATCCTTTAGTTAGTCTTCAGAGGACTGTGTGAAATTCTATCAGATCACTTCCCTGTTTAAGTTTCATATAAATTAAAAGGTCTTTGTATAATTGAAAAGAAATGAAAATGCATAGGTCCAAACTACAGCTAGAGTCAGCATGGGAGTTAATAATGAAGTACAGAAAACCCAACCCTCTTCTCATCCCCAGCATCAGTAAAATCAACCCACTCCCAGTTTTCATCATTTAATGTGATACATACAAATAATTTGAAGGAAATATTGAAGGACTTAGCGAGGTTGCCAGGCAGACAGAGAGGGAAATTACTGACCTGTAACTGGAGCTTTGTAAAATCAGTGCCTGCATGGATGCCCAATTTTGAATCTTCATGCAAATGCTGGCAAGCTTATATAGTAAAGCCCCAAACCACTCTATTAAGACTCTTAAGCCACAGCCCATTGAAGTACATATTAACTAACCATATGAATCCGTTGAGGTAAAATCCAAACTGTAAAGTGCAATTACATTTGGAGAATCTTTAAATCGTGACTGATATTTAGACAGAAACAATACAATTTCCTTTCAGTACAGAAGAAAGATTCTTTGGGCACCATCATCTTACATCATATTTAACCAATTCTCATTTCTAGGTCAACCAATATATATCAATATAATATAGTCTTTAGTTATCATAATGAATGACTCAACTGTATTTGGAAATAAAAATAAAAATAATAAAAAAAGGCTACAAAAATATTCCTCCGATACCATCTAAGTATATAATTCATAGGTGAATAAGATGATGGTTATTCATGAATTTGCTTATTATGCTTAGAAATTATAAGAAATGTTGTTAGCAAAATGTAAAACTGAGTTTGAAATACAACATCAAAGCTGCAGGCCAGTAAGAATTACAAGTAATGTCAGTAAGCCAAAAGCCCAATAATCCTGATTAACAATGTCAGTACGTGTAAGTCTTCCACCCAGTTACAGATTGGCCATGCAACATACAGACACACCTGCTTGGGAAGCTGCATCGACTGCAGCATCTACTAGGCCTAGGAGAATAGAGAGAGAGAAAACAAAAAAAGAAGCAAAGTAATTCACATGCCAGCTATAGTTTTCTTGTGGTGCAACAATGTAAGAGAAAATGAAGCCAAAGATAGATGTGGCATTCAATGACAAAGTTGTTGAGATAACTTAGGGTATGTGATAAGTTATTCAGGTATGCATGATGTAATTACCTACACATATTTATAGAACTGTTTATCCTTGCAGTTGTTATACATCAAAATAACAAAAATATTTAGAAACCTAAAACATATAATAAATAAGTAAGCTGGAGTCATAGACAAAGATCTTGTTTACTATAAAGTAGGAAGCAACAGGTTGTTCTTAAAACTTCAATGTTACACGAAGTGGACACAGGAAACTGCAAATACACACCGAGATATGTAATTTATAAAAATAGGAACATTTTAAATTGCTATAAACTTTTAGAAATTAAATAAAATGGTAATTTTATCCTGCTATGTACAATGAAAGCACTGCAATCCTTGAAAGATCAGTACTTCTTAAACACCACTGTTCTAATTTTCTGCCCCTCTCATATATAAAATATTATTTTAATTTATATGTTTAAGGAAGAATTAAAAGACACATTTACTTCATGAAGGTAAATGCTTTTTTTAAGTAAGCACTTAGGCAGATTACACTGACATGCTATTTACCTGGAATTGTCATCATTAGTGCTGAAAGTTTTCATTTCATTGCTGGTAAATAACAAGCTTTACTTATCATGCAACTTTTGTGCCATTCTTCCCCAAAATAGGAATTTTTTAGAAAAGTTTATCTTCTGTGTATAAAATAAGTATGGCCATCACATGTAGTTCAATCATGTTTGGTAGGTATGCTTGCTAGTCCCTCTAAAACTCTGTTTGGAAAGTATTTAGACCAGTATTTTTACCCATATGTGCTAACTTCAAGATAGTCCATGTCCAGCGAATACAAATAAAAGCAGATTTTCATAAGTAGCCAGTTTTTGCTGGTTTAAAGAACAATTGTGATTGCTCAACACTTCTGAAAATTCAGTCATTTTTTGTTTAAATATCAAGAAAAGTTATCAGGCTAACATTAGGCATCGGGTATGAAAATATCACATTTTGCCCTATCACATTTTTTTTAATGATTACAAAGAGGGAGGGGGAAAAAAACCTTCACCAAGATTTTTTTTTTTTTTTTTTTGAAAGTATAAGAAAATCTCATAGAAAGATAGTAAGGAATACATACGCTGCTCCACTGGCCCAGCATCTGCTCTCATGGCATCCTTCTGTCTGGAAAGTAACTCTTTTTCTTCCTGGATCTGCTGCTGTTCAGCCTCTAACTCCTGCAATTTGTTACCTGTACACAGTAGTTCTTGCTCAAGATGGTCAATTAAATCTATTTTTTCCTGGAGTTGTTTTTCCAGAAATGCTTTTTCATCTGCATAACCATCAATGAGGCCTGTAGAACATCAATTTTGGGGCAAATTTAAGAGACAATAAAGAACAATTTGAATTTTTTGCATGATGAAGTCACTATAATATTCTCACATGAACACGCGTTAGATATTCAGCACCTGACAACTTCCTGTCCTTGCTTCCATGATGAACAAATTTCAAAAGATCAAATATAGCTCTTAATTTTTTCTCAGCACAAGACCTCTGAAGCAAACATGAACTCCAAAGCCAAGGAAAAATAAGTTTGTAATAAACACAGGAGAAATAAGAAATTTCAAATAAATTCAGGTGCCAGGTGCCATTTTAGGTGCCTCAAGATATTTGCCTGACCTCAAACCACAGTTCCTGTAAGATTATGGGTCTCCTGTACATCAGGTATAATACAGATGCCTCCAACATCACAAGGAACCAGAAGTGGACATAGGTGTCTGTGTTTAGCACCTGAATCACTCCCAAAAGCACCGTAAAGCTGACATGTAAGAAACAATTTAATTTCTTTACTATTAATGTGCAATTTTTAAAGTAGCACAGAACAACTAATGATCATTTTAACAGAGAATCTGGGACACTATCTTAAGAACATGCCTTACGTGCTTTTAAGAATTGGTTCATAGTGGAGCAGTCTATCTAGGAATCTGAGGGGGAGCTCTATTTTAGCTTTATGAATGATACTACAGTTGTAAGAAATGGTGCCAACTTGGAACGATGCAGAAAAGCACAAAGCTAAAGACTTGAGAAAAAAAACAATTTTCTTGAGGGCTATACAAACTAAACTAAGATCCTGTAATGGTACTGGCTTCAGAAGATTCACATCAGCCCTTTCAAAAGTGTCAAACCACTGAACACAAAAGGCATTTTTACTGAGTGACAGAAGGTACTAAATAGGTATCCCAGATTTCCACGGTAAGGTGTGTTCTGTCATGTTTGATACTGATGATACCAGGAGACAGATAGGACATCAGTCATACAATGCCTAAACTTTCTCAGTTGGACACACACACCTATCTCATAGGCTTCTTCTTACTAAATCCACAGAATCTAAGTAGTATTTTTTCAATATCAAGCCACTGTCATATGGAAGTACTTCATCGGTATAAATCTATAGTCTTGAGCCAGTATTAAAATGGACTTTACCCTGGCTTGAGAATATGTGAAAAGTAAAGATGTTTCCATTTGTTATCAATGTAGACAAAGTAAAACCTCTGTGAGCACTTAGCTCCTTATCAGAGGAAGGCAATCAAGAAGGAAATTAAGTGACAGTGGTCTCTGCATATCCAGTCTGAGAAACACAGTTCTGGTCCTCATGCATATTAATCATTTACTGCTGACCAATCTTTTTTTCCAGACTTGGATTCACAGAGAACACAGCTGTGTACAGGGACTGGCTGTTGAAACAAAAAATGCTGAACTAGAAACACGATTAACAGCATTTCAAAAACCTGAGACAATAAAAATTCTAGTAGTTATTTCCACCGTATCAGATGCTGTTCACAATGAGTACTTAACAGACTGGAAGTTGAGAGGGCATTGCCACATTAAATGGAACACACACACCCACCAAAAAAGTATAAACAACAAAGAGAAAGTCTGCTAAGATCACATGTTGTGGTAGGTACTCCTGCCTTTTTTTCTTTCCTTTTTTTTTTTTTAAGATATGTAATGAAAGTTGTCAGAGTTCAGTGAACCAACTGGCATTAGCTTTTCTATCACATTAGATAAGTCGTATCTGATACCACTAAAACATCAGAGGTTTGAAAATGTCTCAGCCGCAGCAGTTTTTGTGATAAGAAAGAAGTGATCAAAAATGACACATTTTATCTCACGAGAAGACAGAGTACCATCAGATGTATAATGAACAAAGACATTGTTCTGCATACCTATGCAAGGAATTTGATAAGAGAATGTAGTTTGGCTTTGTCAGAGTATGCTCACAACTCAGTTCAGTGAGCAAAAGAAATTGAATAAAAATAGAGCTCTATGGCATTTTTGTTCTACCAACACACACACAAAAAGGTACCTGTCATTTATAAGTGCATTAATTTCAGAAGTTCACAGAAAAAAGGATGAAAAAAGATCAAATTAATTCAGTTGTAAAGCATTAACGCTGTAAGAGGGACAAATTAGCTGAATTCCTGCAAAAGACTGAACTGAATTAAATCTCTACATGCCATAAATCTGCACCTAACTTAAAAGCTTAACTGTGCAATCAAGAGCTAAAACTAATATAAAATTCTGTATCTCATATTCTAGAACTGTTCATGAACCAAATCTACACAGTCTGTCAAGTCTTATAAACTGACATTGCCATTGCTCTGATTAAAATTAAATTCCAGTTAAAATTTTTTGAAGATTTTTTCCATTTTATATGCTTCCAAGTTTTTTTTTTCCCCAAATAAAACATTATTAGATAAAATCCTGAGAGTGCAAAATACAGCTTCATACTTCTCACTAGATTTTTCTGTTTAATATATTTTCTTTGCCAGCAAAAAATATAGAATAACAGAATGGTTGGGGTTGGAAGGGACCTTAAAGATCATCTAGTTCCAACACCCTTGCCATGAGGAGGGACACCTTCCACTAGACCAGGTTGCTCAAAGCCTCATCCAGCCTGGCTTTAAACACTTCCACGGATGGGTCATCCACTACTTCTCTGGCCAACCTGTTCCAGTGTCTGACCACCCTCACAGGAAAGAATTTCTTCCTAATATCTAATTTAAACCTACCCTTTTCCAGTTTAGAGCCATTTACCTTGTTCTGTCATTAACTGCCCTTATGAAAAGTCCTTCCCCAGCTTTCCTGTAGGCACCTTCAGGTACTGGAAGGCCACTATAAGATCTCCCCAGAGCCTTCTCTTTCCAGGCTGAACAGCCCCAATTCTCTCAGCCTGTCCTCACAGGAGAGGTGCTCCAGCCCTTGGATCATCCTCGTGGCCTCCTCTGGACTCATTCTAACTGGTCCATGTCTTTCTTGTGTTGGAGGCTCCAGAACTGGACACAGTACTCCAGGTGGGGCCTTATGAGAGCAGAGTAGAGGGGGAGAATCCCCTCCCTCGACCTGCTGGCCACGCTTCTCTTGATGCAGCCCAGGATACGGTTATTGGCCTTCTGGGCTGCAAGTGCACATTGTCGGCTCATGTTCAGCTTCTCTTCCACCACCACTCCCAAGTCCTTCTCTTCAGAGCTGGTCTCAAGCCACTCATCACCCAGCCTGTATCTATGTTTGGGATTGCATATACTTGACTCATCTGTTATATTTACAAACCACGCTCTGTTAGAATATTTCAAGCATTTACTAAATTCTACAGGTAAATTTTGCCTTCATTTACATACAGACAATCCCATTACCTACAAACTGGCATCTAGTAAGAGTCTGCAGTTTCTTTGCTGCTATTAGTTTGTTTGCACAAGCAAACTTTATAACAGAAGTGCAGTGCAGTACACTGCTCAAGAGAAGAACCTAACTAATTTTTGATTTATTGCTCATCTGGTGATAACAGGATAAAAAAAATTACAAAAATATGAAAATAAAAAATGAATAATAAGCACGCCTTGTTTTGTGGCATGTTGTCTTCAAATACAATTATGCATGCACTCTTTGCAATAGAGTCCTGCAGAAATGGAAATGTATCTATTGTAAATGAAAAGGCAAGTCCATAGTTCTTAGTGAAAAATCTAACTAAGTCAAAAAATACAGACCCAGAAGGTGAATCAACAGAGGTAAGTTCATAATAAAAACTTATTTTTAATAAATAAAATTAGTCTCTACTATTGTTTTTTTTAAAATGCTACTTGTAGTATTAAACCTATGCAGATATCTCTGATACTATGACAGATTCCTACTTTAAATAAAACTTAACACTAACCTCTCTGCTTTGTCCTAATGCTTTAGTCTATTTTACTTTATTAGTGAAGATTTGTGAATAAAAATACTATCAAGACAAAAATATTATCCTCCAAGGAAAGCAGCAACAGGCGTAAAAGCTGCCTACATTCTCAAATACATCAATACTAAACAGTTTTGTAGCTTCATCTGTGCAAGAATACGATTCATATAATATAGATGTATTTATTTAAGAAAATTATATATATAAATAACATTCTAAAATTTGCAAATAAATGTATCTAAATTGCAATGTATCGAATTAATAGACAAGTGAATGCAAAATTCAACAACTTATCAAAGAAGCTACTCACCTTCAGCTTTATTAAGCTCCAAAGCCAACTGCTCTCTGGCTTTGGTTTCTTCATTAAGACGTTCTTGTAGTTCTTCCTGATACTTGATAAATTCTGTGGCCTCTTGTTGCTTTTTGAAGGACTCTTGCAGGAGTTCTGTCTGAGTAATTTTAGCATGTTCAAGCTACCATGGAAAAAAATTACAGAAGTTACATAAACCAATGGTTTTCTGATAAATAACTGCTCTATCATTAGTATTTAATTAACAGTTGCTTTACAGTGTTATGAGAAGTCTCACATAACGTCACTGGGCATTCAATAAGACCTTTACTGAACACACATTCACAGACTACAATAGGAAGATCGACTCAGTACAAAAGTCTAAGAAAATAGGCTTTATCAGTATAGTGAACTCAGTGAGCCACCTGGCTAAATCCGTGTCTTTGTTCCGGTAATTCCTGGTTTATGAGTTTACACTAGATTCACCTTTATTTACATACCAGTTTTTTACTAAATATGAGTAAGCTATCACTGACCATATACTTAGAATGGCTAAAAAACATTCCATAAAACTGTAAGACATTTTGATAAAATTTGACACAAGTGCTGTTTATTCTCTTTTTCTCCTTAAGATGAAGATAAATGAGAACAGCAGGAAAATGTGTATTTTTAATACACCACACTTTTCAGCCAACAAGGCAGTTAAGCAATGCTTCTTCCAATTATGTCCACCTAACAGAATTATCAGTGATTTTTTTATTCTTGTCTTCTTGTCTGATGGGTTAATATTTAATGCATACAACCACAAACGTAGTGCAATCTCACAATGTCACTAATATAAACTACTGGAAAACCAGGACTGAAAAGCATAAAACTGTATACTTACTACTTAGTTTAGACATACCCAAAGTGATAATTTAAAAAAGAATTCAAATTACAATCACAAGAGCAGAATAGTAAAGAAGGAACATTAGTCTAATGTTAGAAGTTTTGATTACAAAAAATGTTCACCCAAGATAACAGTAAAATGGAGTCAATTACTAAGATCGCTACTTCTCAACTGTTAACATTTACAGCCTACATTCACCTCTTCTAGGGCCACAAATACAAATTGTCAGAGCTGAACCAGGCATGAGTTTGTAGTGTGGATTGTATTCTTATTCAAAATAAGTTCTCTTATTTTGAATAAGAACAATTTCAGAAAATGAAGTAACATATTTCCTGCTCCTCTCCCCCCTTTTTTTTTTTCTCTCTTTTCCTTTTTAATGTTATGGATATTGGCAGATATTTGTAAGAGAGTAACATGTGGGACTTTGCTACAGTTTCTGTAAACTTATTCTTTCTCTCAATTTCTCCAAAATAAAAGCTTTCTCACCATCTCCAGCTAAGTTCACTAGTATGATTCACTTGCTTTAAAATCTCAGAAAAATGGGTTAGGAGCATTTCATGGAACATTGCACATCAAATTATCCACTTATAAATAAAATTACACTTTGAAAAGAATGTCTGAATAATCAATACATTCTCCTTTATAATACACTGAATTTAAATACTTGATTTCTTTTCTACAACATTCCTTTTCAGATGGACATAATTACCATGAACTATTTATTCTGACAGAAATTAAAAAGGTATAAATACTGCAGTTGAATATCCACACTGGTTTGAAATATTTTAAAAATCACAGAGTATTCTTACTTCAGTCTTACATTTTGAAGTGCTTAATGAAAGACCCATCTCACATAAAAGGGAAACATGATAAATTTATTGTACATAGACAACCAAAAAAATGGCTTACTCAAATGCATCAAATACTCCAGCTAAAACTCAGAATAAAAATTATTCTCCAGCTCTTTTCAGTAATAACAAATCAAGGTATTATTAAAAATATCACAGGGCAAAACCAAAAAGGAGCAAAAACATGAATATGATTTTTAAGAAGAAAAATTTCATGGGATCACTGGAAGCCATTAGCAAGCTTGTGCTAGTTAATGTTAATAGTCAGCACATGAAAGTCATAAAGGAACAATTTAAAATGACCGCAGCCCCCTCACCCCACCCTGTAAATTATTCACAGTGAGAAAAATGTAACAAGTAACACCGAAGTGCTTTAAAAAGAGATCAGAAATCTCTGTAATTCAGTATTTCTCTGCGTTTTCTACATTTCTTTTATCAGAAATGAACAGAGAGAATTTTATAATTAAAGCTTTTTCAGTGCCCATTAAAAACTGTCTAGGAAAAAAGCCTGTCAGCAGTACATAATAACTTTAACGACAGAGACAAGTTTATATCATTTTTCACTGCATTCTCTTCTATTTAAGCTGGTATAAAACACAATTTCTTTTTAAAACTTTTATACTTACTGAATAGGGAGGTGTAGGCAAGGAGATTTTAGAGACAACTTTTAAAATGTGCCCATTCTTTTTGTGCCTGAAGTGACAAATTGAAGTATTTACAACTACAGAATTATTCTCATCCAAGTGTTCAGTGAAAGGAAAAGGATATGGTAAAGGTACACGAGATTCAACCTCGTATGTATCTTCTTGGCCTTCAGTCCACAAACCACTAAACAGATTAGATGCCCAGTAGGTGTGGTAAGAATCCATTCCAAAAAATATCACTGTTGCTGTCTTCTCAACATAAGTATTTTGCATTAGCTAGGCTGGATTTGTCACAGAACATGTACATTGAAGTCTGAAGACACGTATCAGCATGGTTGGTGACAAACCAACTCAGAATTACCAGGAAGCCGCAGATCACTTTCTCAAGCAGAGTAATTCAGGACCAGAGTAATCCAAAATAGAGGAAGGTACAAGAAAACCTCATATAGTCACTCCTAAAAATCTTTTTTAGAGAAGTTTCACATGAAAAAGCAAAAAAATCTTCCCATGGCAGCTGTCAGGTAATTTCCAAGGCAAGGAAGCATAGTTTTGTTTTACTTGCATAGGTACACTGCAGCAGACAAGCAAGCCAGCAGAACAGAAACTAAAAATTATTTTCCATCTCCACTACAGCAAACGAAAGAGAAATACAGGTATGTTATTATTTGTCTTCATTCTTGTTCGTGGAGTTAATTCAACAGGAAGAACTTTCTCAAACTCTGCTAGTTTAAAGGCTTCCTGTTAGTATCTCCCAACCGAAAGAATTCAGGGGAGTGGCCTGATTTATTTACCTATACATAACACCAGCAGGTGGAATTTGAATTAATACACCCACTATATGCCTTGCCTTGCCTGTAAAGATTCAAACTGCACTTCATGTCTGACAGTGTGTGTTCAGACAGGTCTCAAACAGTTACTTTGAAGATTTTGCCAGGTTTCCCTCACTCTTTTAAGTTTAAGAGATGGGTCCACGTCTGTATGCACAACACAACTGATTAAGAGGAAAGGTTGTAATTAGTTTTAGATTATTTTTCTGCAATATTTTATACTCTGCAATATTTTATAAAGTATTCAGTTTAAGAATATTTAAAAATAATTGTCAATTTACCTACAAACCCTTAGTATGTACCAGAACTGTATAGAACCCAGTAAGCACACAAGACATTAAAAAGCAGACAAGTGTGAATGCTTGCAAAGTATCTCTACAAAACAGCCAGAAAAGACATCAGTGTTTAGACTTAATACTGTAGGAAAATGTGTAAACAGGTTAACATTTTATTAACTTCAAAAAAACACAGATATTATAATCAGGGATAAATCCATATTGGTATAATTCATATTAATGAAAAAAATGTATGTGTGTGTGTTTGAGCCAAATAATAACTCTATTACTGGTATTTCCGAGGTCCCTACTAAAAAGCTATGAAATGAAAATATACTTCCCTGATCAATTGACAATAAATAAAAATAAGCTGCTTAGAATATACTAATTACTTTCACTGGTATCATTAAAAGTAAATTCTTACTGTAAAAACATCAGTCAAAAAATAAAATAATTTAAGGCTATGTGCAAAACCACTGCATTTGAAGATCAGCAGCAAAATGTTCAGAAAAAGGAAGCGCCAAGTGGAATAAATAATTAACAATACTTTAATAATTGCAGCATGAATTCTTAATTCCCATAAAACTTCGAACGTGTTTTCCTTTGTCTGTATCATCTGCTCTTTAAACGCAAGATTTCCTACAAACGCCTAACTACATTTTTCTTGAGATCTTGGGAGTACCTGTATATCCTTTTTTGTTACTATGTAATGTTTTTGTTACTATGTAATGCCAGGCCTTTAGCTGAAAAAAGACCTCAAAAAACCAAACATCTCTTTTTAATTGAAGTCGTGTTCAAACAGAAGAAAGCTGTTGCAGAATGAATTTGCAACTAAACGGATTGCAGAAACTGATTTAAAAGATCCACCAGACTACTTGCTTTAGTAAATGAGAGGGGGGGTTTCCTGAATTTGCATTTAAATTACTTTTAACTTCAGTAAGTCACAAATTAGTCTTTTATCTTTTTTTTTTAAAATAAGTAAATATCAAGTTCACTTTTAAAGTGTTTTTCAAAATCAAAAGATACTTATATATTTAAAACTTTTAAAGTACTAGACAGTTAAATTTTCATATTACTTTCATCATCATAGTTTTTTTCTCCTTCATTTCCAGTAGCTATGATTTATACATTTTACACTCAGAGAAAAGAAAGCAATGACTTTTTATGTTGTATCATTACTAGGTTAACTTAACAGACGGGTATAGCATAAAACACATGGTATCCTTTGAATTACAGTCTCAGATTAAAGAGCTGACTCCCTAGACTGAGTTCTTCAAGAGAGACTGAAGTTACAGTGAGACAGAGAGTATTTACTTAGATACTTTCAAATTGAGATGTTCATCATCTAAAAGGAAAGCACATGACATAAGCAGCATGATTTAAACTGACTGAGCCAGGTATATGGGTCCCATTTCAATTAACAGGGAAGTACTGCAGAGAGCAACTAACGTCCCATGATGCATAGTACCCTGACAGCAAACAGAAAGGTGTACCCACACACTGCCTCTTTTTGGAGGCTGTTCATGAATCACATACTTTGCATAAATACTGGAGAGCTGGAGTTCAGACTCCTTTTCTGACAGCAAGGTGGATATGTGCTTACCTGGCCATATTTAACTCAGAGTTGTAAAAGACATTAGGAGAGCTCCACCTTTTTGACCAGTCAATTGACTAAATGTTCATCAAGAGAATTGGGCACAGCCCCTCTTAATCCTCTGTCTTCACAAGGGCCAGTTCAATGTGCTCTGACACCTCCTGTCTCATCTCTGATTGCAGGAGAATGCTAATGACCCGTATGAGCAATCAAAGAGCACCCAAGACTGATAAACATGCCGAGTTCTGGCGTCCTCTGCAATCCAAAGCAGATTTCTAACATGAATCTAAATTCATCAGTAAAGTTGTGCTTGGAGCAGGCTTTTTAGGGTGTAGGCACCTGAAATATTGTTTCAGCTTTTAAAATGAGCCTAAAAGTTTTAGGCTTATAAAAACATATTCATGAGAAAAATGAAAGGACACAAAATTCAAAATGCTTCATTATTAGATCACCCTACCTGATCTGAAGTTTCATTGATAGCTTCCAGAAGCTTTTCAACAGCTGCCTGTAGTCGAGAACTAATATTCAGAATGAGTTCTTCATTTTCAGCATCTATTTCCACTCCACTTTCTGTAAGATGTTGGCTTAGCAGTCCTTCATCTGTTGCTCCTGACCACATGTTAATAGCATCATCTCCCATACTACTACCATGATATGAAGAACAGGACTCTGGAAAAACAATAGTTACCTTTTCACACAGACTCTTAGCACTTCAAAACATGAAAAACTTTACATCTGAGTTACAATTACAAGTCATAAAACAATTAAAATATTTGTATTGGTCACAAAGACAGAAAAGGAAACACTGCATACTAAAACTTACACAAACAAGACACACAATGTGTTAACTAAAAACAAGCAGAAGGGAAAGAGAAAAGGAGATATTAACGGAGAGTATTTTAGATGTTCTTCCGGTACGTTTTTGGGCTCTGAGGCTCATCTTCAAACCTTTGTTACTATCAGTAACCCATTAATACTTTGAGTAACTTGCAATAATGACTTGCAAGAATGCCTTTAAAATACAACCAGGTAAAGAAAAAAAAAAGCAAACCGTTTCAGCCCCTGTTTCACCGATGTCCAGCTATGTTAGTGTGCTCTAACACAAAACTGTTCAAGTCAGTGACTCAAAAGCACAGACTCAAGTGAGTAAAGGGTAAGACATGGACTTAATTCAGACAGCTTCTCAGGACAAACAGACTAGGAGACAGAACATCAAAATTCATCATTATTATTAGTGAACTGAAAATTCATTAAAATGGGTAGCTGAACAAATAAAATACAGTGCAAGGGGGACCATAACTGTCCCTACTGATGGGTCACCTCGCACCTGCCTGGTTCTCAGTCTTCCTGAGGTCTGATTCAGTTTAAAGGCATTACCCATTCTGCCTGAAAAGCAGGAGACACAAAGTTTGCCCATGGTGTTAAACTGATTAGCAGTTCATCTAGAAAACAGTAAATTTGCCATATTTAGAATTCAGGGCTGTATCTAAGCAAGACAAGTGAAAACAAACTCTAGAGATGTTTTAAAATCCCACTTTCAGTATGAAAAACTATACAGTAGTGTATCATGACAGTAGATAACCATTGTTGATATCACGTTTTAAAAATGAAGAAGTGCTATGTCATTAGGCTATTAGATTTGAAATGTCAGAAATAAATACTACTGTGGAAAGTTTTCTAAAATCACCATTTATTTTAATAAAGTATATTTCTGAAATATATTTAAAATAAAATAAATTAAATGTTTTGGTGTGTTGGGAGTTTTTTTAAACAATTAGATGTTGTTTTCACTTAAGGTTTTCTAAAAAAACCCCTTTTGTTTTGGGGAAACAGCAGTATGACTAAAAGAATAGTCAATGCCTATTTAGCAATGAAGTTGCAATACTGGGTTATCTTTGAATTTAAGTTCCTGGTTACTCCATGAATTGTGACTGCTGAACTGGAACAGTTTGTTTAGTTACAGAAATTGAAATGAAACTATAATAGGTCAGTTTTACGAATTGTCTTTAGTACTCTCGTTGGATAGAATTTTTTTATACTTGCTCTTGACTCCTAACCAGGCATGCAAATAACATTGGAAATATGAGTCCTCTTGTTGACATTGTTTAAACCCAGCAAGAATTCAGATTCTAATGTTCAGGGGTTGTTTTGTTTGGTTGTTTTTTTTTTTAACATGCTGCAACATGATTTAACTCCTTGGTTTACTTACTATACTTTCATACCTGCACACATTCTGATAATATCTATGTATTTATTTCATTATGGATGCAGCTGTATATATGACCCATATAAAACAAACTAATCTACAGCAATTTTAATTTAGAAAGGTTTTGTTTTATTTCCTTTTATCTTCTAATTCCTACGATTTTTTAAATACAGACTTATTTAGTAATTTTTTCTTCTGGTTATATCATTACTGTTTCATATCTCCTTTTAGATACGTGGGATATAACGTTACAAACTCTTTTCACACTCCAAAGGGAAAAAACAGAAGCACACTATATGCATGAATGGAACGAATAAACAGAT